TAACCCTATTATTTTAGAATGAATAAACCAAGTACAGTAGAGTCCCGAAAACTCGGCACTCAATAACCCAGCAGTCCTGATAACTCAGCCACACCCTGGCAGGGCAAAACAACCCCTAGTTAATTTTCATTATAGACAGCTTTATGACTCATAAAGTATTTTTCTGTGGTCTGTCTTATCAGGTAAATTACTGTACACTGTGTATTCATTAATTTTCATTTTCATGTAGTAAAGGCTCTATGCCTTCATAAAGTACGTACTTTTCCTTTGTTTAAGGGTATTTGGGTAGTTTATTCTCTGTTGTATTCTCAAACAAACAATACATACAAGTATAGTACAGTATTTTCTGAGGAAACACTCGTACTTATTCTTTTTTAACCCCATTCCCGATAACCCGGCATTTTCACAAACTCGGTCACCCTTCGGTCCACATTACACAGAGTTTTCGGGACTCTACTGTACAGGCCAGAAAAAAAATAAAAACTTATCATTATCACAGTGAATGGGAAGAAGATTATTTCTTTACTATGATAAAAGATAAATGTGTGTGTTTTGTTTGCAATGCAACAGTAGCTTTTTGCCTAAGAAAGCAAACATTGAAAGACATTTTCTAAGTTCATAAAAACTATGAAGAAGATTATCCACGTAGTACTGCGTTAAGAAAGGCCAAAATGCAACAACTGAAGGTACAATTAACTGTGCAACAAAATAGCTTTTTTAAATACAACATGAACTCAAAGACTGTTACGATTGCCTCATTCAAAACTGCTGATACTTTAATTAAACATAATAAACCGTTTCAAGACGGGGAAGTATGGAAAGAGGCTTTTATTAAAGTTGGAGAAGTGTTGTATCAAGATTTTAAAAATAAATCAGAAATAATGGCATCCATCGAAAATATGTCGTTATCGCAAAATACTGTTATGTGTAGAACAGAAGGAATTAGCCAAAATCTTGAAGATATTTTACATAAAAACATTAATAAATGCATTGCATTATCACTGCAGTTTGACAAATCTACAGACTATATCAGCACTGCACAATTATGTGTTTTTATTTGAATGGTTTTCGATATGTCGGCCACTGAAGAATTATTAACTATTATTCCAATGCATGAACACACAAGAGGTCAGGATATCTTTGATTTGTTTAAAAATTATGTTGAATGTACAAATTTTCCAATTTGCAAGTTGATATCAATAACCACTGATGGGGCTCTGGCAATGTTCAGTAATAAAAGTGGCTTCGTTGCTCTGTGTAAAAGTGATGATGACATTCCAAATTTTATGGATTATCATTGTATTATACATACTCAAGTGCTATGTTCAAAAGTATTGAAATTCGATCATGTTATGGATGTTGCATTTAAAATAATAAATTCCATAAGATCTGAAAGTTTGTCACATCATCAGTTTCACGCTTTGCTGAAAGAATGTGGCAATGAACACAGTGAACTGTTACTACATACTGACATAAAATGGTTAAGTTGTGCTACATTTTTAATGAGATTTAGAGAACTTCTGCCACAAATACGCTCATATTTACAAACTAAAGGTGAATCATATCCACAATTAAATGATCAAAAATGGCTTCTTGATCTTTCTTTTTTCTGTGATGTTACTGAAAAATTATACCAATTAAATCTGCAACTACAGGGTAAAGATAAAACAATAATAGATATGATAAGCATTTTGAAGTCATTTAAAGAGAAACTAAATATGCTTGCAATGCAATTAAAACATCGTGATTTAAAGCATTATCAAAATCTGGCTGATGAGTCTAAAAATAAAAAGAATCTTACTTACAACAAATATGCCAATATTATTGCACTGCTTCTAAAAGAATTTGAAAGAAGATTTCTAACATTAAGTGAACTTAAAGATATTGCCAGTATTTTGTATTGCCCATTTAATGACAACATCAATGTTGAAAGTGTAGCTTAGAAACTAAACAACTTTCTCGGTACTACAAATTTAGCAGGCTTGGAAGAAGAAATAATAAATATTAAATGTGACATAAATCTTAAGTCACTGGTTTCATGTTGTAATTTTTGAAAACTGATAAACAATGATAAATATCCAAATATTTGGACAATTGCTGCACGTTTCAATGCCTTCTTTGGATCAGCATATTTATGTGAATCCACATTTTCATTTATGAATGTGATCAAAACAAAAAATCTATTGCAATTAACAGATCAACATTTGGAATCATGTTTGAGAATTGCCTTAAGTTCATATGAGCCAAATTTTGAAAAACTTGCTGCACAATGTCAGATTTCGTTTAATTAAACATTTTTATTCATTTGCTTATTTACAGTGTAATTTTTTTAAGTTAATAAGTATTTCATCTCAAAAAATAAAAAAATCATAATTAACATTTTTTCCTTTATTTGCTAAAATTTTTTTTGTGTATTTATTTCTTTACATTGTAATTTTTTTTAATTTAATAAACATTATTGTGCTTCATAAAATAAAAAAATATAATTATTTGTTTTCTTTATTTGCCATAATATTTTTTTAGTTGAAATTCTTGTTAATTATTTATTAAAATATCTATGAAATATTTGAAAAATCCTAAAATTGTTTGTCCATATTCATAGTCGCCCGCAGACTATATTTTACCGAAAAAGTAGCCCCTAAGGGATAAAAGTTTGCCCACACCTGTGATATATCATGTTGCAACAGTTTGTAAGCTATCCTTGTACTCTTATTAAGTGTGATTTCTTCATAAATAGGTTTATTAATGAACCAAATATGTACTGAAAGGTAGATACTAGGGTTTCTCAAACAGAATTCTGGGATCCCAGTTGTTTTTTAACCTGGGAAATTTTTCTCATCCTGGGAAATCTCACAAATTTCTTAAAAGTTCATTTTTTTCTTATTTTGTGTTAAGGTTGAGGACATTTTGCAAATAGAAAGTATAATTAACTCATAAACTGTCAGAATGCATTTGTATTTTTTAATTTTAAACCTACTGATTAATTTTTTAAATTTTTGCTCGTTGCTCATGTCACAAATGGTCAATAATCAATACGTGACTTATTTGTGGTAGGACTCTGAAAATTCTTTACTTGTCAGAACCTGTAATATCTGGAATAATTGTGCTTATGCTGTCTTAATTTTTAACCATGCCCAGTAATTTCAATAACTGCATAATACCAGGTTGTGAAAATTGGTCAAAGAAACAAACGAGTACAAAGTCAGCAAGTATGAAGTTTTTCTTCATAAACCTGATTATTAAAGACAAGCGAACTGCCGAATTATTGGGCTATAAACTTGATGTTTCTATTAAAGCAGCCAAAAAGTAGACAAATCAAGAATACTAGAGAGCAAAAGAAGTACTACAATCTTGAAAACAAACTAAAAATCTTCCAGGTTACAGGTAAAAAAACACACAACATCTATCTTATCTTAAATGTATTAAACATGATTCCATTCACATCAATTGAATTGGAAAGGGCATTCTTGGTAGCAGGACTTTTCATTACTAAAATAAGAATCAGATTGAGTGATTGGAGTATTGACCATCTTTGCTTTTTAAAATCTTATTATAAAAATTTATAATAATATTTTATAATATGTTTTATTTAAAAAACAAAAATTACCTTTTAAATTAGAAGTTTGATCTAAGTTCATTTTTTAAATTTTCAACTCAATTCAAAGTATTTTTTGTTGTTGTTGTTGTATGCAGTTTCCAACAAACTTTAATACATTTTTTCTATTTGTGAAAATTTCTATGTAATTCAAAGATAATTTTTAATATATATCTTACACAGCATTATTAATATGATTTTGGAGGTTGCAGAATGTATTAAATTACTTTAAAAAATGAAAAATAATTACATATATCATTTGATTTCAAGATATTTTGTATAGCTTAAAAATAATTAATTATATTCTCGGATTTCCTGGAATCCCAGGAAACAGTTCACATTTTTTCCAAAATCTCAGAACAAGCAAAAGACTGGGAAATGAGAAACCCTAGTAGACACTTCTAAGGGGACCTTTGTGAATTAGTCATTTGTAATCTTCAGAAGAAAATAATTCCTGAATTCATACAGAACATCATATTATACAACAAATATATTGATGACATCCTGATAAAATGATGTATGAAACCAGACATAAAGCATTTTTTAAACAAAATTAAGTAATTCATATGGCTTAACACTTAAATTAGACCAACATAGTAGTACTTCTGAATATTTTTAGATAATATCATTTTTAAAGAAAGAAACACATAATAATGTATACTAAACTGGAATACATCCCATTATTAAACAATTTTGCAACAATATCAACAATGCATCAAGCAAGAGACAAATACAGGATTCTTGCTATGAAAATATAGAATTCAAAAACTTAGGCTATGTTTTATTCTTATTATATTATTTTCTTGTATTAATTTTTTGGTGATGGTCGGTTGGCCCTCTGAAAATGATGGCCTACTGAGAAAAGCTGGTAGCCAGGTGGCCAGTCCCCTGGATACACCTCCATTTTCAGTGCAGAATGTTTAGGAAAAAGTATTTAATGTATTTAATTAAGCTATCCCACATCTTCGGCACTAGGTATCTGAATTTTTTCACTGTATTCTGGTTTAAAATAGTAAAATTAAAATACACACTTTAATTTATCAGGAGAAAAAAAGAGTTATTTCGATTAAAATATTCTACATGAATACATGCAAAAACTGTTTATCTATAGCAAATAATAATATGTTGAATAAAAATGTTATTGTTTAGTTAGAGGTGGGCTAGGTAGAGGTTACTTGTAGCATACTGAAGGCCACTTAGGAAATTTATGTCTATGAAAGATCACAATTTTGCATATAAGATGCAGAATGATTTTTTTAGTCTTTGCTTTGGACAAAAGTTGCATATTAAATATGATATATATAATATATGTTTATTAAGTACACCATCCATTCATTTCAAAAAACTTAATGTAAACTAAAAAAATAATTAAATTTGATTAATTATAAAATATTTATTGTTTTACCTGGATGTACTGAAGATGGATCATGTATAGCACTATGGCTGCGCTTCATTCCATGTTTATGCAATGCCAAGTCTTCTTTTTCTGTTGGCCAGTTGGCAGTAGGAGTTAAATTTGACCAAGAATGTACATAGCATTGTGGACAACTTGAAGAATAGACAGATGAAAGATGAGGAACAGCTGTAGTATATGATGGCTGAGAATATGGAAAATGAGGATGAATTTGAGATGATGCAACAGTTCCACTTGCTTGTAATTGTGTTGGACTAGATGTCTGAAGTGGAACAGCCTTTGATTGGTGAACACTGTTATAAATACAAAATTATTACTGAATTAAATTCTTACTTTTTTTTAATTTTTATAACTTAAATTTTTAATTGAAAATTTTTATTAATTAAAAATAGGCCACTAACTCAGATAAATAATGATCACTCTGTTTTTTAACATAATCTTCAACCAAAATATTTTCCTCTTGAAATTCTGTTTGTGACTGTTTAATGTTCTCCCAGACGTTAACACTTCTAACATCTGGTGCAGACGTGACTTTTCCCCAATCCTGTAGATCTTCTCCAAGAGCAAGAGTGGCAGATATCTAAAATAAATTTTCAGAGTTTACATCTAGAGATTTTAATGATGTAAAATTGATAAGTTGTGATGCTTACTGGTCGTTTAACTACTTGGCTATAATCTGCTGAGCGAGGCAAAGTTGCTCTTTTCTCTTCAAATGGTATTTTAGATAATACCAAGTCAGATGCTGATTGTGGTTTGCTTCTTCTGGGGGGAGGAATTATGTTTTCTAGAATATATTATCATATTCTAAGATATACATAAAATAAAATTCAAAATATCAGACATAATCCTTAACTAAAACTCCAACTCTAAATTATCTACTTTTCATTGCTTTATTGAGTCTTTTGCACTGAAGGCTTAAATAACTCAATTCACCATGAATCATTCTCAAGAACTTTCAGTCAGTCAGTCAGTCTATCATCAGAGGAGCTACAAATACAATCTGAAGATTTCATTCTTATAACTAAAATTCTTCTCATTTAAAATTGTTTCATTGAGGAATGGTAAATTTGAAAGTTCTTGGGAGTAATCTGTACTGAATTGAGTTAACTTACTTAAGCCTAGGTATAGTCCAATCTAATCTGGCAATAATTTGGCTTTAATAGAACTACTGGACTTTATATTTGATTGCTGAATTTTAAAAATTAGTATTTGAAGATAATTCTGTACAACTAAAGCAATGTTCCATCTCGCTCTACCCTCCCAGAATGAAAATCCTAGCACCATTACTGATAGGTATGAAGATTGTCTAAGTTTATGAAAGTCTGAGTTAGCAAGGTGTGAAAAATAAGAATATACATACAATATATAATTTATTATATGACCCACCAATGCAATTTTAATGGATTTGTTCAGGGCCAGTTTAGCTGAAGAGTCTTCAAATGACAGTTTTCAGAACATTTGTCTACTAATACAGTAGTGTGCTTTTGCTTGTGCTTTCGTTTTCAATCACATAGTTACTTTTATGATTATTTTGTTGATATTTTATGTAAATGTAAGTTCATCTGTTTTTTGATTGTTATTGTTATTCCAAGCTTCTTTTTTAAATATTGATTTTATTTGTTGAACTTAATAAGTTTTGATTTTATACATTGAAAGCCTAATCCCATGGATTTAGGCCTAATGCTGTTTCATTTAATTTAAAATGACTAAAAAGTGTTGCGTACTTAAATGCAAAGAAAATTATAAATCTACATCAATTAGTTATTTAAATGTTATTTTAATTTCATAAAGATCCCATATTATGTCAATGTTGGATACAAAATATTCCAAGAGATAAATGAACTCCAACTGATCATAGCATCATTTGTAAACAGCATTTTTTACCTTCTGACATCTGAGGAAAGATGTGTACAAGAACATTGATGGAACCATAATGGAACTTGAAAGGAAGATTCCAAAGTTAAGCAAAAATGCAATTCCAACTATATTTTCCAAACTGCCAAATTATTTTAACAAATTCCAGCAAAGCAGAGAAAATCTGCAGAACAGCACAGAGACGAGCAGCAATTGAAACATGAGCAGCAGTATGCTGATTTTTGCGAACAAATATATTATCCACAGTTTCTTTAAGCATCATCACATTATCACAGTTTCAAAGGTGACACAACTCACAAATGACAAAATAAAATACTTTTGTGTGATTTAAGTGATGAACTATATAATAGAAAATATATTTTCTTGCAAAAATTGTAATTGTCAGGGTCAACCAAAAAATTGTAATTACTTGTATCATCAAGATGTTTTTAAGACAAACTAAATTGCCTGAACTGTAAGATAATTTGACAAGTTTTAAGAACAAACCAAAGAAACTGTAATTACTTGAATCATAAGAAAATTGTGAGGTTTTTAAGATCAACTAAAAAAATTAAATTGTGTATACTCCAATTAAAGAGGGGCTTAAGGCCTGAAATGCATTTTGGAGATAAAATAAAATTGCAGGCCAAAAAATGAGAATAGATTGTTAGTTCTGGTTTAAATTCTTCAATCTAAGGTTTAATAAGTCTTAAACAACCCACATTGTAGAATAAGAGAATAATAAAACACAGTAAAAATACTAAACTAGAAGCTTTAAAAAAAGTAAAATTTATTAAATATATTAACATTCAATCTACACTCAATTGTTTTCATTAGTTTTAATATAACATTCTGTAAAGTATTGTATATTACAAACATAAATTATTAATTTCTGTTATCATCATATTCAAAGTTTTGGATTTAAAAATAGAGAATCTTAATAATAAAATTTCCACTATATCACTAAACCAATAAACCAGCAAAAGAACTCCTCACTTTAGAAAGTGAACATTTTTGTCCATTTTTAAAATGACATCTTCAGACTGGTGTTATAAATTTGAATTGCATGTTTTTTGAACAGATCTTAATGTCTAAGTTACTGTAGCTGATTGGAGGATAGTTGATAGTTGCTGATTGGTGGAAAAGTTGTACTTAGCATCTTGCATGGAATGTGATGTTTCTGTTGAATTAATATATATTTTCCACAGCTTCAGGTGTAAGTTTTTATTTTCTCAAAACAAAGTTGAGTTAATGTGGGGCTGAGGGGGGAAAATTTTAAAAACACATAATTTAACAATAATATGCGATATATATCATCATCGTCTCCCTTACCGTTTGGACTGCCGAGCAGTAACAATCAATGACACATAGATGCCTCGTTTACAACAACACAACCTGTTTATTAAACACGAAAGAAGCTTACAAGATTTCCGCAATCTTGGAAGTTCTACGTCAGCTATGGCCTCTGGGTCTTCCTCTCCTTGCCAAGGTAGTCCCATTTTGAAGGAGTGTCCTGGTTCACAAATGGCCAATTCCATCGGCATCTTGACAACTCCAGGACGATGTGGTCAACTTCCATTGATGGAAAGATGTCAATCCGAGGTCAGGAGATGGAGATGAAGATGAGGACAAGACATGCGCACTACAATAGATCTGCCACTTGGAACTTTGAGGAGGAGAAGCCGTTGCATCCTTGAATTTCTGGGGTTTTATCTGTTTTCCTCCAGTTCCACTTTCCGATTGGTCTCTCCTTGTCACCTGATGACAATTCGAAACCTTTCGGGGGCGCGGGAGAGGTCAAAATCAGTGTTTAATTCAATCTCCAACTGGAAATGGTCGACGGACTTACATTTTTCTATTGTTTAAAAGTTGCATTGCATTTTCATATAAAAAATCTATTTCTAACTACTATATTTTTTCTTTAAAAAAAATTATTTTAACGCGAATTTTAGTGAGGGTTCGTACCTGTCCAGAGCCTCACATAAACATCAAATCTGATATACATGATATTCAGATGGTATTCAAATATTACAACACTTTAGATTCCTGTTACATTCAGACATTTCATCTTTTTGAGATAATTACATATTAGTCTAATCTACAAATTTTCTTACATGACAATCCTACCGTCAGTGGACAATCAAAAATACAGGAGAGAGGAGACTAGTGCATGAGAAGTTCCTCAAATTTTCATATCACATAATCGCTGTCTTCTCCTGGTTGTCTCATCGATTGGAGCAGAGTCCAGTGACTTTTATAACTCTTCCTTTGCACAGTCCTATTTTCACTGGTTTCCTTCATGTTCTTCCCATAATGGTACCAAAAATAAAATAGAGTCACTGTGTCAACCAAAATTTAATATATACCCTCTTCTGCTCCCCACTGGATTTATTGCCCCTCCAGGCAATAATGGGCAAAGAAACATTCTAGAAGCTCATAAACAAAGTCTTTGTAACTGACAATTTAATTTTATATACAAAAATATTGAGCAATTGTCACAAGGGATTGCACTATCCTCTTTATAGTTGATATCTTTTTTCTTGCGATCCCCTTGTATATCTCCACTAACTCCTGTTTTATATGAAATATCACCTTTGAAGTTGATACTTTCTTACAAAACAGGGAAGCTCCAATGGAAAGCCCCCTTTCAGGCACCTTATGTGAATTAGTCATCCACAAGCTGGAAACCACCATCATCCTTATGTATCAAGATTGCATCACTATATACTCTAGATATGTTGATGGTATTTTCATTTTACGGCACAATGAGCCCGTTATACAACAATTATTGGATGACTTTATAATAACTCATATAGGTTACTTCTCAACTTTGAACAACACAAGCAAAGGGAAGCTCACTTCCTGGTAATAGACTAAAGATTAAATAATGGATGTATTACCACAGGGATCTACAGGAAACCCACATATCTCTCCATTTTCATATGGTCACACTCTCAAGACCCCTATTCTTTTAGGCTGGCTGCATTTAACTCCTTGGTCTGTAGAGCATACACACACAAATCAGATTGGAGACAAAGAGAACGAGAATTTGACATCATTATAAAACAAGCAGTCAGTCACGGTTTCAATAAAAATATCATCAAAGGGCTCATCGAACATCATGCTATGCATCCCAACCTACTCCAGATACATACAAGGTGGTAACATATAATGAACATTAGCTACTATATATGTCATCATTATTATTATTTATTGGACACAAAAAGTGCCATCTGGTCCCACAGTGCACTGCCAGAGCTCCTATATACAGAGAAACAGCCTGCAACTACAATATCAATGTGGATCTCAAAAGGAGCCCACCCATATTTAATCTAATTAGAAATGCCAAAGATCCACAGACCTGGCAATACTTGCCAGGAGTATATTCTATCCCACTTACGGACCAAAGATCCAATGAAGAATCAGAATACATAGAAGCCACATATCGGCACATTACTACCTGTCTAAAGGAACACCAAGCTGACATATCAAAAGGCCTATTAACCAAAGCAGTAATTGGGTATTGTTTTTTATGAGGATCTTAAGTTGCATTTTTGTCATCTTATGGGAAGTTGCTTTTCTACTTGCATAAAAAGAAACACACTATTGTGGCTGTTAGCCATATTTTAGTTTTCATATAGTTCGTAAGTTCTTTACTTTTTTTTCTATTTTCTTCTTTCGTTTCTATTTTCTTACTTCCTTTCCATTGTCTCAAAGCAATTTCTACATGAACTGTTACTGCTTGAGGGGGAGGATTACCCTTTCTAAGAACAAGAGTTGAACAAAGAAGGAGGAGATTAAGACTTCCCCGAATTTGGGGAGATAGACAAAGGGAGTAAGAGCCCAAGACAACGAGAGAGATGAATAGTAGTCACTTTTTCGGTTGGACCTCGGAGAAAGCAGACGTAGGACGCAGCACTCCAGACTTGAAAGAGAGGAGATTGCAGTTGTGAGAGAGAACCCTGTCAAGACTGAGCACAGAAAGAGGTACAAGGATCCATCAGACATTAGAAGAGTGAGAGAATCCAGACATCAAACTGCTGGTTTACTAGAGAAAGAGAAGGGATCACGATTGTAAGGACGAAAATCATTAAGGAGATCGATCAAACGACTTGAACCCAGGTACTTTCTGTTTACTTTCCTATCGTTCCTTTGCTTTTCTAAGTCTATAAGTTTCTTTTCCTTATTATTTTAAGATAGGTGTAAGATTAGTTTTAAGTTAGTCATTAGATTTATTTGGTTGTTCTGTGTTACGCACGCATGCGATATATCCCTGTAAAATTAATAGGAGGCGACTCACTTCCCTGTATAGTTATTGAAGTGAAAATCTGTTGGATTGGGATCAGTGTATTAAAAGAACCGCGTTCGGAAAGAATTAAAAGAATATATATCGTGTGTAATTTTGTTTCTGTGTTGTTATTTGTAATGGTTACTCACGGACCCACAAATATCTCTTTCTGAACAACCACACTATAACTACACAAAATAAGATTTGTATTGTTTATGAGGAATCCACTGACAATATCTGTACAATAAAAGAACAAAAGTGGTTTAAGAAATACCATATAGAAAATTTTTTTAAAGATGTACCACAATCTGGAAGATCCTCAGCTGTTGATAACAATACAATCAGTGCATTAATTCAAGAAACCCACATTACACCACCAGTGAAACTGTAGAAATGTTATCTATTGCTCAGGAGTTGGTTGTTGGGCATTTACACAATTTACAATACATACCTTGCTATGATGTTGGGTACTACATCAGTTCAGTGAGAGAAATGTGATAGAATATCTGCCTGTAATTCACTGCTGAAACACAACAAGATAGATCCCTTTTTTGATATGACTAATTACAGATGATGAAAAATGGATCATTTATGATTATGTGCAGAAAAAAAAATTATGGAGAAAGTCAACTTACCCCTCTTCAATGGAGTCAAAAGCCAGTTCACATCCAAAAAAGATTATGCTGAGTATGTGGTTGAATTGGCAGAGAATTATCTATTACAAACTGCTACCTCAAAATCAAGCAGTTAATATAGAGAAGTATCATTCCTAACTTGATAATCTGAAGGTAGCCATTAGCAATTAAAGAGAAATGAGCAGCATTAGCAAGAATGAAGACTGTGGCTTTCCAGCATCACAATGCTAAACCACCATTTTATGCCATCCCCTCATATTCTTCCAATCATGACTTTCAAATTATCATTTACTTCAATCTCTTCAGAATACTTTACAGAGGAAGAAGTTAGACAATGTGAAAAATCGCTTAGATATTTTTTGACAAAAAGTCCTCAGAATTCTTTAAATATGAGATAATGGATCTATCCAACAGATGGACTAACATGATACAAAACATAAATGCATAAATGATTTAATAAAATTATTTTTTAATTTTTAAAATTTGAGTATTATGATATTGTATAAAAATAAACAAACTTTTTGATCAGCCCAATAGAAACAATGTTAAATCAAATTTATTGTCAGATTAACTTTCAGGTTAGAACTTGGTTAATATATTAAATATGTAATTTGAACATTTTATAATTAAGCCACCATCTTGTACTTAATTGAATAATTATACTAAATTTTAAATTATGTTTAATAATTTTCAATATTCTGGAAGAAAAGATCAATCCAGAGTAGGACTTGAATCCACAATTTCTTACTAGCAGATGCATTGCCAATTACATTTCCTAGATTTCTACCTGATCTTTGCTTCTAGACTGATTAATATGAGACATAATTATACTATTGTAATCGAAAAGTATCAGAAATGGTTCATTTAAACTGTGCATGTGCAAGAGGGCACTGTTGTCATTTTTTCATCATTTTGTACAACTTTCATTGACATCTAGCAGCAATCCATATGTCATTGTATGTTTTCATTTGCAAATAAATGCTTGTTTTGTGTGTAAAGAATTTTTGTGCTGGCGATTTTTCAAAATGTTGAGTATAATCGAGCAAGAACATGCATTAAATTTTGTTTGCAACAGAATTACTGCTACAAAAATGTTGGAAATGTTTCAAAAGATCTTTGGTGATGATAGTCTATCAAAAGTAATAGTTTACAAGTGGTACAAAATGTTTGATGAATGCAGATAACATGTTAAAGATAAACCACACTCTGATAGGCCACCCACTTTAACCGATGAACAATACATTGCTGAAGTCAGAAGTCTGGTACTTGCTGATCATCATTTAACAATTAGGAACATTATTGAACAGATTCTGGTATCATTTGGATTTTGTCGAGAAATTTTAAAAGATTGTTTGGGCTTGCAGAATGTCACTTCTCAACTCATCCGAAAAACATTGAATTTTTTCTAAAAACCACAATGTGTTTGAGTGACCAAGGACATGCTTTTTCAAGGTTAATTTTTCTTCAAATGCATCATTACGAGTGATGAAACTTGGATCTATGCTTTTGACACCAAAATGGCTCAACAATCAAGTGAATGATTGAATGATACTTGAAAGGTGAAGCACACCAAAAAGACTGCATCAAAATCAGTCAAAAATCAAGATTGTGTTGACTGTTTTCTTTGATTAACATAATATTGTGCACCACCAATACTTTCTGACTGGCCAAACTGTCAACAACAAATATTATTTGAGTGTTTTGCATCATTTGCCTGAAGCAATTCATAGAAAACAACCTGACGTATGGTGAGAAAACTTGTTGATTTTACACCACAACTATGCAACTACTCACAGTGCTCATTTGCAAATTTTTGGCCAAAAATTTACAATCAATCACTGACATGGCACCATGTCACTTTTTCCTGTTTTCTCGACTAAAATTTCCACTTTGTGGTCATCGTTTTCAGTCGATTGACACCATAAAAGAAAATTCACTGCAAGTCCCAAAAAGGTTTCAGGAAAACAACTTTAAAGAACATTTCAGATTGAAAAAAATATTAGCATAAGTACATTGCAGTGGGAAGGAATTACTTTGAAGAGGACAAAATAAATTTTGATGAATAAATTCAAATCTTGCATTTTATTTAACCATTCTTAATACTTTTTGATCACAGAGTTACAGCTCACTTGCCACAGATTCAGATTTGGATGCATGTTATGTATATACATAAAGATATTTTAACAAAAATACAGTAGAGCATCGATTATCTGAAAGTCAATCATCCGAAATGTCAATTATCCGAACGAATTCCAGTCGGCAAATTTAAATTTTCACTAGTGCTGTGGCGCTGCAATCTTTGGCTATATCTTGGGCTACTCAAATATTTTATGTTTTTGATACTAAATTAACTTCTGAAGTATAATTTTTTTATTGTTTTTATATTTTTCAATATATTTATTTTGTTTGTACAAAATAAAAAAATAATTTTTAACGATACAATAGTCTTCGTTAGGCTTAACATCGGCGAAATTTCAATGCGAAGCAACACGCAATGGAGAAAAATTTCAACATCGGATACATTAAACTATTTTTTCGTACATAATCGGTTATCCGAAATACCAGTTATCCGAACAACCCCAGTCCCCAATTGATTCGGATATTCGACGCTCTACTGTAGTTTGAAATATAGAACAGAAATAGTATTAAAATAGTACTAAATAGTTGAGTAGAACAATTTGAAAATATTATTATAATTATATTTAATTAATAAATCTACTAACCATAACTTTGTAATATTCTCCTCTCTTTTAATGTAGATTCTTTTATTTCTGATTCATGTTTTATCTCATCTTGAGATTGAAGACATTCTCTTTTATGTTCACTAGAAGACTAAAAATATGCTATATAAGAGAAAATTTATTTTCCAAAATAAAAGCAAAGTATGTTTTAATTTAAAAAATAAATATAAATGTCAATTCTCAATCTAGGTCATCATTTGTTTATCTCTTAAATTGGCACTAAATGGAATGTAGCATTACTGAAGTACCCTATGAGGGGGGAAAATGTCAAGAGGGTCGAGGGATTGCAAAGGGTCATATGTGGGTGTGACTGGTACCGAGACAGACTCCACAGTTACAAGAAATCATTTATTTGACATGAAAGGAGCTTACAAGATTTCCATAAAAGATTATGGAAATCTTGTAAGCTCCTTTCATGTCAAAGTTGGAAGTTCTAAGTCAGCAGCTGCCTCTGGGTCTTCCTCCCTTTTCCAAGATAGTTCCAAATGAAGGAGTATCCATGGTTCGTAAATGACAGTTCCCTCAATGTCTCAACAATTCTGGGACAATGTGGTTGACTTCTGGTGATAGGAAGATGTCAATTCAAGGATGGGAGACAGAGACGAAGATGGGCACACAATGCACACACAACAATTAATCTGACACTTGGAACTTTCAGAAGAAGCAATCACATCCTTGAATTCCCATGTTTTTATTAATTTCTGTCCTCAATCACCTATTCCAATTGGTTGCTTTTCCTCGTTTTTTGCTTTCTAAGTAGTTGATCACTCATTACTAAATGTAAAGAGACCTCAACTTAAATTGTAAAAAAGGTGAAAATCAAAATCTAATTTGATCCCAACTAGAGATGGTCAAGCTTAGGACTTATATTCTTCTATTGTTTAAAACTCCACATTGCATTTTCAAACAAAAAAATTATTTCTAGCTTCTATATTTTTATTCTAACTAAAATTTGCATTAAAAATCATTTTAATGCAAATTTTAGTGAGGGTTTGGACCTATCCAGAGCCTCACAATTTGAAAAATTATGCATTTAGCATTTAATTAGGATGGTACTTTAATGTGGTTTGACTGCATGTACAAGATATATTTTTCTTATCAATCTTTAACAGTCCATTAATAATTTCACAAAATTGATGATACAATGATAAAAACTTTTGTTGACGAAAAGATAGAAAAAATTTGAATCAGATTGGTGCTTTTGTTAATTGCACTATTTATTTTATAAATATGTACAGCTTACAAATATTTTTGTATTAATATCACTCTAAAACAGAAAAAAAATATTATAAAAAATAATTGTTAAAGAATGGATTCTCTAAGCTTCATAAATTAGAAAATAAAACATTTAATGAGTATTTTTGCTTTTTACACTCAAACTTCATCAGAACATTAAAAAATGAGACCATTTGTGTGTTATATATTAGGTGAAGCTACTTTATGAAATTTATGTATATCTGACGAGTTTTGACTCCAATTTACTTACTAATGGATTCTCTCAAATAAACTTTTAATTCCTAAACAGCAAGGTTAAAAATAGTTTAGAAGTGCTGACTAATTTAACATTTATAGAAAATAAAAATTCTAAATTTTCTCTGATTCATCCAATATATAGTGGAATATTAATACAGTGGGTGATCGGTTAACGAACAGATCGGATAACAAACACTTTCGCGAAAGATTTTTATGTTCGGACAACAAACACATGATCGGATAACGAACACCCCACAGAACAAACACAAGAAGAAGCGACGTAAAATAATGAATACTGATTGATCTTCCCTTGTCTTCGGGCAACAATTCGAAACTTTTCGGAGTGTGGGAGACGTCGACATCAACTCTCAAGCCGGTATATACCGATCGGATAGTATTCCTCCGAACTTTGAAACTCTCCCTTATAATTCCAGCCTTTTATTTTTCTGACAGAAACAATTTTTTTATAGTATTCAAGAGACTGTTAGGTGAGACTCATTATGTTTTGTGTCAGTTTTTATTTTCGAAAGGAGAGTATAATAGCAAAGGTAGAGAGTGGGCAGAAGATGCATAATGTTGCTGGGCAGTATGACGTGAACAGGTCTACAGTAGGCACAGTTCAATCTTATTTAAGAAAAATACTGTATAATCAAGAAGACTCAAGCAGTTAAAAGAGTAACAAAACTCACATCTGAGAAATAAAGAACATCGAAGGGTTCATAATGGAACCTGAAACGGATCTGACGACAGAAGAACGCCAAGAACTCTTGAATTAAGAACACCAAGAAACTCAACGAGATATGTTTTCTTCTGAAAAAGAGGATTAATGCCGATATCTGTTATTAAAGATCCTTTGAAGAAGTGGGAGGATGTCAGAACAACGATCTTAGAATGGCATCCAAACCAGGTTGAGGCTTGGGGATTTCTACAATTGCAATGCTATTAATTACTTACGAAAAATCCTGAAGAAGAGAGAAAAGCAATCGATATTAGACAGGTTTTTTAACCCTTTCAAACGGAAAAAACATTAATAAAAATGCAAGACTGTGTATGTATGTATGTTTATTATTGCATATAAATAAACGTAGTAAGAAAGTATATATTTTTTTTATTTTTGGGGGTCTCCAGAACGAATTAATTAAATTCCCATTAAAACTTATGGTAAATCGATAATCGGTTAACGAACAATTCGGATAGCGAACAAAGTTTTGGAACAGATTATGTTCGTTAACCGATCACCCACTGTATATACAAGTGCAAAAAGTATTCATATAGTGCCTAATTTTGGTTAAGTCCAGCCTTTTTAGCACCCTTCTATGCAAATAAGTCAATGGGATAAATACACTGTTTCTTATGGGTGACATTATGTGAATCACTTGATAGTGAATGCATAGATCAAATAAATTCTGCATTCTCATAACCAGTATTCAAATGTGCTGCTGTGCAATGCACAAAAAAATTCATACATCTGACCAAAGGACTGCCATTAAATTACTTATTAAATGATGTTTATATTCAGTTGATGATGTACTATATCAGTGATTCCCAAACTTTTTCGAGCAACTGCCTCCTTGGTTCCATAAACTTACACCTAATGCCCCCTTCCCCTTGGATGAGAAAGGCTCGGATATATTCTTAGAAATACTTTTCTACAAATCTCATATTTTGCGTCCTTACTGTACATTGTTCTCCACATTTGGAAACCATTAAACGCAATGTTTCTTCTTACTCGTTTTAACAGAGGAAAGGGAAAGGTTGTTGATGACACCAACACTCATCTATGGTAACCATTCAATCAGTACCCTGCCTCCAGCACCCCTGCCACCTACATTCTTCTTTTCACTCCCCCTAGATTTACTCAGCATTCACAGGGCAGTAGCATTCACTTTGGGAATTAAAGTAGACCCCCCTATAACGCTTAGATACGTTCCACGCTTACCGAAAATTACGTTGTAGGAATGATTAAATACATGAGCAAATCGCAGCCCGATAGGTGGGAACTTTACGGACTAAGGCTGTTTGAAAGGTTTTCTTCTATAAAATTAACCGATTCTAGACTAATTCCACTCAACATTTCCAAAACACGTATAATTTTTTGGGAGTAATCCGTATAAACTATGCTATAAACAAAAAATTATAGGATTACTTACCGAGTGTGTACCGTTCGACTACGCCGTTGCTTAAAGCTGGTTTTCGTTGCGGAACAGCACATGAATCGGCGACCGCGATTTCTAATAAATAATTTTTCGCATAAAAAGTAACTTGACCTTTGGAGACATCATTAATATAAATAATTTTTATGGACGTTGAATAAGAAGTGTTTCTTTCACAAGAGATGTATAAAATTAGTGCTGTATTAGACTTACGGTACCTAATTCACATACTGTACAGACGATAATAAACTCAACTTACTAGCCTAAAATCTCCGTAACATGTTGCCAGGCGGCAGAAAGCATATATATAATTATAATAAAGTTACAATAAATTAAGTTAATATATAATTATATGTACAGTACCTAATTTATATATAATACTAAACAGACGATAGCAAACTCAATTTAGCTGCTCTGTAGCGTGGCGCAGGGTCGGAGGAAAGTAGTTCGGCTGCTCATCCACTATTGGTCCAGACTCTATCAATCTTGTCGCGAAATGACGTTATAGGAGGTACGTTATACGAAAGTTGCTACAATTTTTTCGCTACGTTATAGGAATTGTCATTATAGGAACGTACGTTATAGGGGGGTCGACTGTACTGTATTATATCCTATCATTAACTGCATACAATATAAAATTGTTTACATTTGTTAATTTGTTGTTTAGCTATATTTTGTTAATCAATGTTATCCATTTATAATACTTAATATACTATAAATACTTTAAAATTACAACTCACTTGTAATGATAAATTGCTTAATTCTAATTCTCGCTTTTTTCTTCTTGGTGGAGGTGTAGGCGAATGAGTAGCAGAAGTTCTTTCCCTATCAGGTAAGCTCTCTGGAGTTGGAAGCCGTGATCTTCTTCTAGGTGGAGGTGTAGGTGCGGTAGTATATTCTATGGAAAAATTAGGAAGACTAGTAATACTACTACATGTTCGAATTGATTTTCTTGGTGGAGGTGTAGGAATATCGGCCCTAGAAAACATAGCTTCTTTCTGATTGGGTAAAGTAGGAAGACTTGTTACACTATCAGGAGTTTTCAAACGTGAACTCCTTTTAGGTATGATTGGTAATGTTGAGGAATCACTCGAAAACATTGCTTCTACATGATATGACATAGCTGGAAGACTCAAAACACTATCAGGAGTCCTTCTGTGAAAATGTCTCTTGGGAGGAACTGGTATACTTTGCTCTTTTGAAAATAATACTTCTTTATCATCATCTAAAGCAGGTAAACTGGTTTCACTCTCAGGTGTTCGTAAATGTGATCTTCGCTTTGGTGGAACAGGAGCAGAAGTTAAATTTTCTAAAACAGATTTTTTTTCTAAACTTTCTGTACTTCCTTTGTCAACAGATGTTTGGGAATGTGATCTCCTTGGAGGAGGAACAGGTGGAATCTTGAATACATCTGATTCATCTTTCATTTTTTCAGAAATGCTTTCACAGCTAATATTTTTTATGACTTCAGGAGTTCTAGATTTTCGTTTTGGTGGAGGAACAGGAATAGTTGTAAATTCAGTTAACTTTTCTGGAACAGTCATCAAATTCTCATCACTTATCAAACTTTCAACAGGCATCTGAATATCAGATTGTCTTTTTGAAGGTGAAACAGAAGAGATGTTAGATGTTTCAGGAAGAGAAGAAAGACTTGTGGCACTTACTGATGGTTCTACAGGACTTTGAACATTTGACCTTCGTTTTGATGGAGGAGTTGGTATTCCAGAAGTATCTAAATGTTCTTTTTCAACAAAAGAATCTCTAGAACCAGAAACATCAGATGTTTGGAGATGTGATCGTTTCTTTGGTGGGCGAACAGGACTTTCAGTTTTAGTATCTATCAATGACTGACGAACATGAGTTTGTCGTTTTGGGTGAGTATGATACATATCATCACAAGATCCACAAAAATACCTTTTATTGCACTGAGAACAAAATATAGATGGTGATACAGCTCCACAAAGATCGCAAACATGCCCAGAAGGTTCTAGAAATAGATTATTATATATGTATAATCACACAAACATCTTAATCTCAATACCGGCTTTACAATTACGTTAAACTACCATACTTACTACCATAATTTCATGTGAATAACTTACAAAATTACATAAACTGCATTAGCATATACCCTATAGAAAATTGCTAAAAGTAAAATAAAACCACTGCACAACCATACCACTGCAACCATTGTGTCTTGAAAACATGATACTTATCAGTTTTCAGTTTAGAAAGTACCATCTCAAACATTAAAGTGCTTTTCATGTTTTTTTCTTTCTTAACAGTTCATTCTAAATGTAATTATAAAAGAAATGATACAAAAAAATAGAATACTGAGATAGAAACTCCTACACTTCATAAGTGTCAAAATGCAAAATGGATGCTAAACAACAAAATCTTAAAGATTTAAACTTAAACTTGTAAAATAAAGAAGAGAAGAACATTTAAAAAGATAGCCATTTTCAGAACTTTCTATTTCCATCCCAGATAATGTTCTATAGAAGATTTTAAAAAAAAAATTATTTAAAGTTCTAGAAATGTTTGCTATGTGAATCTGAACTTAAGACTGTATTAACCAGCTTCCACATTGAGTATCAGAGTATGTCTCTGGACAGTTTTCTTGTCTACAACAGATTTTTACTTGCTGTTTTGCTAGTCCCAGGGTCAAAATTGTCACCCTCTTTTTGTGGTATTGATTACTGTATTTTTATTCGTAGCTATCAATATGTCTGCAGTTCTAAGCAGTAGAATTTCCAAGTCATATATTTGGACTTCTCTATCTTGTAAATTATATGTTATATATAGATATTATTATTTTTCTTTGGATGGTGATGTATGTAAAATTAATAATTTTATTATTTGTATAAATTTGCAATAATGCATTCATGAACCACTTTAATGTATAAATATTACTTTGATCTTGGAACCTGTATAGTGTCCCGAAAAGGAAACATTCCTGATTGTTGGCTACAATGAAGTGCTGAAGAGGTGCACAGATGTTGCCAATTAACAAGAACTGTTAAGACAATAAATAAAGCATTACCTTTTCTTTTCTTTTATTCTTTTAATACTTAACTTTAATAACTAACAAAACTTATTTACAACTTTACTTTCCAACCTTAAAACTAACAGGTCAAAACTCGTCAACTAACAACTTTTTCAAGTGTTGCCAGATATAAATGTAAAATAATTAACATGCCTCCTTACATTTATATTGTAATACAAAAAAATATCAAATACAAGAAAAGTAACAGCTAACTTGACAACTCTATTAACAACTTATCTTAATCTCACACATCTTATATTCTATTCTTTTACATTTAGCATCTCTCTATATTTAATGAATTTGACATTTCCTAATGCCTTTGTAAATATATCTGCAATATTATTTTCTGACTCTTATTTTTAGAACTTCAATTTTTCCTTTCTTAACATTCTCATGCACAAAATGATAATGAACTACAATATGTTTTGAGTTTTTTGTAAAGTTTCCATATTTAGCAATGGCTACTACACCTGAGTTGTCTTCAAATGCCTTAATTGGTTTACAAACTTTAATGAAAACCTGATTCATTAGACAAATCAGAAAATTTATTTCTGTTACGGCTTCTGATAATGCAATATACTCAGCAAATGTAGAAGACTTTGTTACACTATTCTGCTTTTTGGATTTCCAAAAAATTACATTTCCAAACAGTCTAATTATAAATCCTGTAGTAGATTTCCAGTCTAAAATATCTCCTGCCCAGTCAGAATTCACAAAACAATCTAAAATATCGGTATTATTATTTTTACAATATTTTAATTTAAGGTCTTTTGTCAAATACAAGTACTTCAGGACTCACAAAGCATATTTAAAGTGTCTCTCATTGTGGCGATATGCCATAGTTTGTTTATATGTTTTAATTTTAAGCATAATATTAAGTTCCTTTGTCTTTTGTTCTGTATCTTTCTTCTCAAACTTTCTAACGGTCTTTCCTTCCTGCAGGTGGGGACTCAGTTCGGAGAACTACACCAAGAAAACAATAGAAAGAGAAAAGCCCTGAGGCGAGTCAGGGAAGTATGTAGACATTCTTGGTGGAGCGTTCATAGTGGACAGACATAGAAACAGGAAGATCTGAAACATTGCCTAGTCGGACAAAAGGAAGACAGGAATTGTCGGCAGTAATAAGAACAAACCATAGCATAACATAGTAAGTGAAAATTAAGTGAATGATTTTGGAGATATAAACTTTGAAACAAAGAAGAGTAGTGGAAAACGAACTGAGAGTGATCCCTCCATCTGAAAGATCAAAGATTTTCACAAAAAAACCCTGGTACCATAAATATTTTCATCATCACCTTCCTAACACCTATAGGGTTGGCAACTAAGTGATTGCGGATTTTGTCAATAGGTGGCCTTAGCACATTTTTTTTTGCTTTGTCATCGTGTTCAAAGCATTTAACCTATATTGTTTTCTTGTTGTTTGGACTTCCACCTTTAATTTAGTAAAAAAATTGTATCGATTAGTTATTTAGTTTCGTTTTTATCCCAATTTAAAAATGGAAGAACAAGACATGCATTTCAGACATATTTTATTGTATTATTTCCGAAAATGCAAAAACGCATCACAAGCACACAAGAAGTTATGTGCCGTATATGGGAATGAAGCCTTGAAAGAAAGGCAGTGTCAAAACTGGTTTGCCAAATTTTGTTCTGGTGATTTTTCCCTTAAAAATGCTCAACGATCTGGCCGTCCAGTTGAAGTTGATGAGATCCATACCAAGGCCATTATCGATTCAGATCGTCATAGCACAACGTGTGAGATTGCACAGAAGCTCAATGTATCACATACATGCATTCAAAAAAAATTAAAACAGCTTGGCTATGTCAATAAACTGGATTTATGGGTCCCTCATCAGCTTAAGGAAATTCATTTGACACAACGCATTAGCATCTGTGATTCACTTCTGAAACGCAACAAGATTGATCCATTTCTGAAACGACTGATTACTGGCGACAAAAAGTGGATAGTTTATAGCAACGTTAATCAGAAAAAATTGTGGGTGATGCGAGATGAACCAGCCCAGATGACACCAAAAGCTGAGATTCACCAAAAAAAGATTATTCTGTCAGTTTGGTGGGATTATAAAGGAATTCTGTACTTTGAGCTTTTACCAAGAAACCAAACGATTAATTCAAATGTATAGTTCAACTCACCAAACTAAGCGATGAAGTTCAAGAAAAACGGCCAGAATTGGCAAATCATAAGGGTGTTGTTTTCCAGCATGATAATGCAAAGTCCCACACATCTTTGGTCACTCGCCAAAAATTATTGGAGTCCCACAATGTATATATATTTTTTTATTGTTATAATTAGCAAATTTATAATTTGTATGTATTCTCTTTCTCTGTCCAATTAACTCTATACCTTCCTATTGTTGTTCTTTTGGTGAGTTTTGGGCTAAAAGGAGAATCAACATATGCCACCAAAGAGAAGGACAATTTTTTTTGGCATTCTTGGTCGGGAAGAACGAGAAGAGAGGTACATGGTGAGACAAGAGTAGAGTCAGGAAGAATGAGAAGAGAAGCACATGGTGACACAGGAGAAGGAGTATGAGAAAGAAGGTCTACATGGTGGAGACATAGAAGATTAGTGCTCGAAATTTGTGATTGAAGACATAAAAAAGGAAGTTATGAGTGGACTGCTTATCTCAACTAAGGAGAACCACATGGTGAGGTTAAGTTTCCTTTGTTAACTTAAGTGCCCAACTCACAGGATAGGAGAAAGGGGATGCCATACTAACACAATTTTCTTCTCTTCCTTTTTTATTTTAAGTAATATTAGTGTAAAACTTTAAGATAAGTTAGTTTTAATTAGTGATATAAGATGATTGAAATGGATTGTCCACAAATCGGCATCTCAAGTCATTTTTGTTGGGATATCAAAACAAGCAGTGTAAAGTAAAGGACAAAGGAAAAATAGTATATTGTAAGTTAAAGTTAAAAGAAAATAAATTGATATTGTTATCGTATTCATGAAAAACGTAGTTTAATGTATATTGTTTCTTACACATGGTGCCAATAATCTGCATCATCACAGAATATTTGTTTTCAATCTTCTATAGAACATTATCTAGTAGACCTGAAGAAGAATAAAGTTCAGAAAATGTATATCTTTTTAATGGTCTTTCTGGCTTCTTTATTTATGAGAGTAAATGTAAATCTTTAATGTTTATTTATAAAGCTGTTCTATAAGCTAACAAAATTTTTTATCTTATTGCTTTGTTACTGTTTTATTTATCATATAATAATAATATAATGTATTTTATTATTAATAATTATAAATGTTAAAGTAAATTCAGAAAAAATTAAATATAAAAAACTTTAACATCAATGACATCCATTGTTAGTGCATTGAAGTCACTTACTCATCTTGTGTATAGAATATTCTAAATAGTTTTCTGAAAGTTATTATGTAAAAAGAGAAAAATTACTGGACATGTATCAGCTTTTAAGATATAAATCCAAGTAGCATTATATAATATACAATTAAACCATATACTGACACATGGAAAATGAATGGGAGAAAACTGAAGGCAAGACATGCATATACATATCTTTGGTGGCTTTGGAAGAAATTGCAACGATAGACAAATGTCTATAATATGTAACGGATTTTTCACAACTTTTAAAGACACACTTGATGATTTTAGATAAAGTAAAGGCTTTTTTTTTAAAAGACAATTTTTTAAAAAAATTCTTAAAAAATTTAAACTTTAAAGGTTAAGACAAATTAGATAACTGGTTGTTTTTTTAACTATAACTGCATTTTATCAGAGACAAAACAACACTAAGTTTCACAAAACATTAGCCTTTATTATTATGCATTTCAGATGCAAATTTTGTTTCTTTTGTACCCCTCTTCAGATAATACAGATAATACAGATCTAAGTTAGGGAAAAGCATACAGATAATACAAAACAATACAACATTTAAATGATTCA